TATCATCATGAACATTGCATTAGCATAACAAGACCTATCATAACAGAGAGCTATAGCTTCTGAATAACAGCTTTGACATTTACTTATTGTCAGATATAATCATTTCAGCCATAGCTAATCCATCTGACTGATGTGCCACCACTGTAACAGCTAAGTGATGGTGAAAGCCTCAGTCAGGGGGACAGAGGCTCTTTCAGAGATGGACACCAAACATCTGTCTGTCCTTCTAGGTCTCTGGACTAAAGACACCCACCAGGCGTTGTGCTGGAAGACCTGCCGCGGGTCAGTGAGGAAACGTGTCCCGAACTGAGGTCTCTTCACGTCTCCGGTGGCTGAGTCTGACACAGGCAGTCCTGTTTCGCTGCTGCTGTCTCTCTTCACACCGACCACGGCATGGGGCGCCGCCATGTTCGAACTGACGCGACGGAAGAAGGACCTGTGCTGCGTTCAGGGACAATTGGTATGGAAGCACATTTCCGCCAATGAAGAGAGAGAGCGACCGAGAGAGAAAGATGAAAAGAAAAGATGAAAAAAGATGAAAGCGTAGTATTTGTAATAATAATAATAATAATGATAATAATAATAATGCTCACGTCAAGTTAAAATTACGAGATGAAGAGTCATAATTATGACATAAACAGTCGAAATTATAAGTTAAAAAGTTAGAGATTATGAGATAAAAGTTAAAATTACTAAATTAAAAATCAAAATTATGACAAAAAGTCATAATAGGGGGATAAACATTTAAAATGATCAAATAAAAAGTTAAAATTATGAGACAGAAATTCGAAATTTTGAGATAAAAAGTCTAAATTATGGGCCGCAAATGTTATTAGATTAAAAAAAATAAAATAAAATGCGAGTTAAAAAGACACAACTATGGGATTAAAGCGTTTTAGTTCTGAGACTTAAAAACAATGATGAGATAAAAGATTTAAATTACGAGATAGAAAGTCAAAATTATGAGTGAAAAAAGTAATTGTGAGAAGGGAAGTAGAAATTGTGAGAAAAAAATCCCAATTTTGAGATAAAGAGTGATAGTTCTCAAAAAAGTCATCATTAGAAGATAAAAAAATTAAATTATAAGATAGAGTCAAAATTATGAGTAAAACGTCATAATTATAAGATAGAAAGTAAAAAAAAATATGAGAAAAAAGTCATTATTAGCCCATGCAATTAAAAAAAGGAGGAGCAGCTCTTTTGCGCGAGTTCTCCAATTACCAGACATATTAAATTAGGACTAAAAATATAAATGCAACTCATTATGTCCAAATTTTGGGAAAATTAATGCTGCAACTTATCTTTTCGATGCGATAGATGCAGAGATGGCTCTGTAATTATGTTGTTTGGATCTAAATATTTGCTGTAGACATGTTTTTACTTTGTCACTGTGGTCACACACAATAACTTGAGATACATTTCATCATTTATTCTGTATTTTACAGACTAAAGTACGTGCCTCTTTGTTAAAATCCAATGAACTACACTTCTCACTGTCCTAAGAACAGACTGCATCACAGGGAATGTACAGTACATAAGCATAAATAAATAGTTGTATAGTTGCAGTGCATAAATAGTTCCAGTCATGTTATCATCCAGCTCTGTAGTGCACAGTCTACTGTGGGCTACTTGACAACAAAATGATGTGCACACAACTTCCAGCATTTGAGCAGTGCAGTGTTTATACACTAGAGGGCGACATCACATTATCTTTGCTGTGGTCCACCGGTGTCAGTCTGTCCCACATGTATGAGGAGAATACCTGGACTGGAGATGCACATTTATCACTTTTATCTTAACCCTTGTGCATTAGCCCATTTCTCACAATTGCAAGTCTTTGCACAGAGCCTACAGCTATTACTTAATAACTTTCTATCTTTAGCCTGAGAGATTCACTGATAAATACTTTGAAAGAGAGCAGCCACACATTAAGTGTTAAATGTGACTTCCAACATGCATAGTGGTCAAAGCAATGATGTCACTGTGTTATATTACTCTTCAGTGGCTCTTCAGACTCTTCTACATTTTTATGCACATTTCCATTTGCATGTGCTGCAAGAGCAAACCTAAAAGGTTAATTATAGATGGAGAGCGATGATTAGCTGACCTGGTAGTTGTGTGAGGAGGTAGGTCACATCTGGACTGAGATATTGATAAGACGGCTCCATGGTGCTGCAGATAGACACACTCATCATTTAGAATACTGATGACTGACAGCAGAGATGCTACATACCAATGACCAAACTTACATAAGAGCATTACCCAAGATTCACTCCATAACAAATGATACCAAATACTAGAATAATAAAAATCTTGCTGTATAAGTAAACAGGAAACCAGTGCCAGTAACACATTCTGCACAGTTGTTGGAGTTTTACTGGTACTGTGTCGGCTAATAGGGACATTAATACAGACAGTTGTGATGAAGGTGCCTTTATATTTTCAGTGGAAACTGAAGTACCAACAAACTGTATGAAAGACAACTAGACACACACTAACTGGTCCCATCAGGCTGATGTGAACAGGATGTGGTGACAGAGATATGTTGTGGGATGTGGAGGGGAAGTGCAAACTTTTGCTACAATGTTACGTATCAGATTAAATACCAGATAAATACACAAGAGCAGACAAATGACCTAACAGCCTCAGTCTGATGTCATGTTCCATGTAACAGGAAACATTGCCTGTTTGTTAAATATGTGGTGCCAGAGTGTTGTCAAAGGAAATGCCTGCACGCTGACAATCATTTTATATGTTTAAAAGTTGCAGTATGAAACACACATCACAGTGAACTCGCCTGAATTGAATGTAAGAACTTAGATAACTAATCATTGATTGTTTCTTGGCTGTTACATTTTGTGTTTCTCAGAGTGTTTGTGTATTAACTTGCTGTGTGTGTGAATGAAGTGGGAGGCAGGATGAAACGTTCAGCTTCTCACTAAAATCAAACAGAGCATCAGTGGTATTTATCGTAATGTTCATCCAAAATGTATTGCCAGCCAGCGTCACACAGAGTGAATACAGACAAAGTTTAATAACTTTTTCTATTTCAGCAACTTAAGACAACTTGTTGCTTGAGATCTGAAATATGAATCTCAAATAACTTGTGTTTTTAGGCTTCTGTACCGTAAGTCTGATCTTAATAAAGGCTGAAAGTCGCATTGACATTTGTTTAAAAGAAACCAAATGTCAGGCATCTCATAAAGGTCGGTGAAATTAGGTGTAATTCATCTTTATGCGCTCCCTCTGTGTAACAAACTAAAGCAAAGCCCTAGGTATCTTTAAAAATGGTGCAAAACAAAAAACTATGTAATGAGCTTGCAGGCCATATCTTAAGAGAGGATGAGCGCTGTACAACCAAAACACTCTGTTTCCCATAGAGGTTACAAAAGGCCAGTATCATTTGTTGCGCAATAAAATCTGCTCATATACACAAACAACATCGTATTTCAGCGTGACACAGTGCTGCTCAGTAGAAAATAATTTACAATTCAGCAATGGCAGGACAGATCACTATATTGTCTAACAGTTTTACAAAAAATAAAAAATAAAAAAGCCCAACAAACACAAAAACGGGTGATGGTGCAGAGAAAACATGTCAAAGTATTTGTAAAGTTACCATTGCTGATATACATTTCAAAAAACAATATAGACCACAAACATCACTGCAAACCAAGTCAGCCTAGAGGCTGTAGTTAAAGGGACAGTTCACCCCAAAATCAAATGTACACATTTTTTCTCGTACCTGTAGTGCTATTTAACAGCCTGTATTATTTTGGTGTGAGTTGCCGTGTGTTGGAGATATTGGCTGTAGAGATGTCTGCCGTCTTTCAAAGCGGTTAGCCGAGATAATCCACAGACCTTGTGAGCAGTATGGCGTCCTCACAAGCTGCAATGTTAGCTAGCTCATTGGTGCTAGGTGAGTTAGCAGTAGATGCATGCTTCCCTCTGCACAGTGATTCGGTTGGCAGGTGTAATTTGGTAGAAAGAAAATAGTTCCTACATGAAACTGCTCACTACAAGGTCTATGGATTATCTTGAGTAACCAGGTCATGATTTCTGGAAAGAGACATTGCTGTTCAGTTGTTGTTTTTTTTAAATTTGATGCTTTGAGCACCACAAGCAGAGTGCCATCTAGTTCCATTATATTTGAGAGAAGGCAGACACCTCTAGGGCCGATATCTCCAACACTCAACAACTCACATCAAAACAATCTACACTGATCAATAGCACTACAGTAAGAGGAAAAATATGTAAGTTTGATTTACGAGTGAACTGTCCCTTTAAGGTGATTTACTCCTTTGTACAGTTAATGAAAACTCCATAGAGTGCTGCATTATTGGCAAAATCATTACTAAAAAAGTCTGCATTCAAAAATATAAGGGAAACTCTTAAAGCGTGTTCTAATAATTTATTAAAATTCTATAGTACACGTTTTAAGTGTATTGATAAACTGCAGTGATTCGTTTGAAATTCCCCTTTTTTTAATTCAGTTAAAAGGGAACTTTAAAACAGCTGCACTCTGTGGGAGGAAATTACAAAATTTGCAAAAAACACGACTTGGGTGTAAATAATACATCAAACACGGTGGAAGACGACTTTAAAAAAGTGGATGGATGGATTTTCTATATTGACTGATCACTTTGAGGTCACAGTGATTCCTATTTCTTTTTGAAAATGTGAGCAAAACTTGAACAACAAATATTGCAATGGCAGAAGAGTCTCCTAAAACGACCAAAGTGACAGACTCTCAGCAGCAGTTCCCCTTACTGTAAACTGACAGTACAGCTGTTTATATTAATGAACTCCTATCTGACTGCATGTACAGTACTTAGAGAAAACTACATGACAGAGTGTAAAAACAGAAAGCCTAACAGCAGGCAACTGTCTGTGACTTACATTAAGATATACTATGCAGGATTAAAAAGCACTCCATGTCAATCATCACTCAAGACCCACTAGAAGTGTGTAGTGGTGCATTTTTCTGCCCTCTGCCTGTATTTACTTATTTTCTTCTTATTTTCTGTGCTCGGGATGTTTATGAGCGTGTACCCTCATAGTGCCCAGGTGAGGTTGGTACTTTATAAAAAGGTAGCAACCATCAGTGGCAACAGCATGCATCTAAGAGACACAGTGCCGAAAAACACACAAGGCAAGACAGCAACAGACTGTGAATCTGGGGTTAGCTTTTACCTTCAGTTTCACTAGCAAGCATGTTTAGAAACAGTAACCAACAATCCTGCATAGTATACCTTTAACATTTATAGTTATTTTAACAATATGTACATCTTCTACACCATGTCGTTGACAGCTTTTCAGCTACAGTGTAGGATCTTCCTCCCATCCATTTCCTCGCTGCTACATTCCATCTCTGTCGTTGACCCCTGAGTTTTTCCTCATTGCATTTATTGATTAGTTGCCTCGGTACGCTACATTGGTGAAGGTGGAGGTGGCTCCTTTGTACAAAGGATTGTTAGCCTGGGGAATGAAAACATTTAATTCAGTCCCACATAGATATTCAGCTTTTTAAGTTCACTGTAGACTTTTCCCTTTACAGGGCCATCATATTCTGTTATTGTATTTGCAATATGCCATCGATCCCTGAATGAGAAGCAGTCAGGGTTTGAATTATGATTATCTCTCACCGTATCCCATTTAGCTTTGGCTCTCTCCTCCTCAAATTTGGCGAACTCTCTACGGTCATGGATGGTGATCAGCAGCTTCCAGATGAGCAGGCCAATGAGCCCCAGCAGCAGAATGGCTCCGGCCACCGACAGGAGCACCACCAAGGTGTCTGGACCCTTAGGACACTCTGAGAGATGAGAGACAGGAAGTGAGACAGACAGAGATAAACAGCCAATTTTCTCTGTTGGTTTCCGTGATGTTTGTTAATCAGTGGGGCTCAGTCATGAAGTTAAGCAACCACTAGGCTCCAGTGTCAAACGATGATTCAGTGCATCATCACTACATGTCTGGGTGTGTTCTTGGTCATGCTCATCTTTAAGAAATAACTGATTACTGGAATTACACACAGTTCTGTTTTTGCTTTAACTTGCCAGACACAGGCTGAGGTGGTGTTCAAGAACACACTCTTCTGTCCTTATAATGCACCTCAATTACAATGCTCAGTTCTCTGGCAGTTTAAATGTCTCATACATGCACACAAACTCTTTTAGTACCTGGCTCTCTTTCCACAGACAGAATGGATTTGCCATTTTCATTTTCGTAGTACTGGAAGTGAACCACGCAGTCATTCTCATCTTTGTATGAGCAATTCACTGAATTTCTGGCATGGAAACCTGTAGGAGCAAGAAGAAGCAGCAACAGGGCAATGAAATGATTTTAAGCTTCAATAAGAGTAATACAATGACAGAATATTTATCAGTAAATAATATTCTTTGACACCAAACGCCTCACACTACTCTCAAGGATATTCTTCTCATATGATCAACAGCAGAAAAACAACAATAAGCATCACCACAGAAGGTTAAGGTCACAGTAGGTAATAAATAGGTCAGAGACAGAAGAGTTCTCACCCAGCTTATCCACTTCCTTGATTTCATCTCTGCAGATTCGACTACAGCTGTTGTCGTCAATGTACTGTCCTCTTTTAAAGTGTTGACACTCAACACATTTCCTGCAAGCAGAGACCCATGCAGTTACTTTTGATGCGTACACAGTGTGTATACTATTGATGCTCTTTGGCAGCAGCGCATGATTCAATACGATATGCAAGGTATGGACAAACTACTAGAACTACAAGCATCTAAGAGTTGAGACTAAGTGTTGATATCTGCTGGCTGTTGTGGCCATGAGAGGAGTTAGATCTTTCTCTGCTGTACGTGAAACCACACCTAAACTTTTTAAAAATGTGTGTAGGAGCAGTTTGTGATGATCCTGGAATGAAGGAGTATCATAATGGAACAATGTTTCCACTGCAGAGTGCGACCAGTCAGCTTAGTTACTCTCAGATGCTTTGCTGAAATATTTTACCCTGTTAGGGGCAATGCCTGAGGATGTAAGAGTCGGTTGTTGACATCAGTTGATCAGTTGATAGGTCAGTCACTGCAACATTCTGGTCCAGAGCAACATGTCTCAACAGCTACTTTCGTACACACGTTCATGGTCCTCAGAGGATGACCTCTAATACTTTTGGTCTTGACCTGTTGTCACCATTAAATTAATAAATATTTCCTTGACCAACAAGATACAGTATTTTTGAAATAAGAGGTTAAATTGCTATCAGTTTATCTGTGGGTATTCATTGTTCCAAGAGGAATAATTTTGTTTGTGATGACCTTCTCTCTAATTCTACTGGTGCCAACACAAGGCCAAAAGTTTCACTTGTACAGTAACTCCACAGGATATCCTATTTCCTGTGGCGTAGATATTTGTGGTCCCAGCTCAGTCGCCAGAAGAAAATGTTTGTATTATACATTTCTTCAAATCACAAATATGTTACATTTCATAATATATAAGTGTTTCTAAATGGACATAATGTCTAAGCTGACTTTTGTCCTCCAGGGGTGATGGGTGAATGCTAATGGTGTCTCCCAGAAGCATTTTCGAACCTAGATGTTCTTCATCAACATGTTGCAGCTTTTCCCAGTGTTGTTTGAGCCACCAGACTGGGGTGTTTTTCACCAACCCGTCCCTGCTTTTCCAGCTTCTTTTGTACCACTAAACATGGGTATTTTAAGCTATATCACAATCTTTTCCTAACCAAAACCAAGTGATTTTTGAAATCACACGTTAACCACAGCGTTGTTGAGAAATGCAAAGATTCAGCGTATTTGCTACAAAGTAACCTACAAACGTCACATATCCAGGGTTTGCAGAAACCTACAATACCATCATTTTTTCTGGTGAATGGGTTGGTGGTCTCCCAAAGGATGAACCATGTCCATTTTGGACACTCCATGATCTTTCCTCTTGCACCATCCTTAGGTCAAAATATCGCCTTTCAATACAAGTTATCTCATCACCAATTTCATGGTAGACTTTATGAAATTTGCTGAGCACGTTCATGCTCCCAGGAATATAAACCCAATGGCTTTTTCTCAAGCAATAACCAGGGGGCAAAAATATTTTAGCCACACCCCTTACAATGGCGTGTGCTGTCTAAAACATGAAGGTTACATCTTTATGAGGTGGGATTCTGTGTTTGAGAATGAGTTACTTCACAAGTGTTTTTGTTTTGTCCATTTCCTCATTTCTCTTGTTTGTTAAAAACTTAAGAAATACACTTACGTTTTAATAGTGCAGGAATCAGGACAGGTAGGGCATTTCTCACAGGTGTCTCCATAAGCGCCAGGCTCAGTGCATTGACAAACCCCACAATTGCAGTAACCCCGGCCGCTACACAGCAGGTTGTTGCTGGATGTGCAGGTGACTGTGATTGTGGAGCAGTTGCAGTTTTCTCCTGACCAGCCAGCGTCACACTGGCAGATGCCACAGCTACACTTCCCATGATCTAAAATGATCAAAAAGGATAAGGAGGTTAATGCTCTAGTCCTTTGGAAGACAGTCTTTCAATTCAAATCAAATTTACATATCACATCTTATTGCGTTATAATTCAATCAATATCAGTTTATGTTTATCAGATCACAGGTTAATCACATAAGGGCTAGTGCAAACAAGTGCTCTCAAAGCCGCAGTCATGTTTCGATTGCCAGCAAAGCCCAGGCTGCATGTAAGATCAGATGCTATATGCTAGCGACTGCATGAACAGAATTCCACTCGACAGTGAGACTGATTTAATGATGGAAGCAGAAAGTGGTGACACACAGCAGAGAGAGCAAGTAATGATTCAAAGAGATAGGAACTTGTGACAGGTAACTGCAGTGTGTCAGAGATTTTCTTATGATGTTTTAAAGGTCCAGTGTGTAGGATTTAGTGGGATAGATTGGCATAAATGGAGTATTATGCAATAAATATGTTTTTTCTTCAGTGTATAATCACCTGAAGATAAGAACTGCTGTGTTTTCATTACCTTAGAATGAGCTGTTTATATCTACAAAGGAGGTGGGTCCTCATTTACAGACTTTGCCATGTTGCACTGCCATGTTTCTACACTAGCCCAGAAGGGACAAAATAATAACAGCCAGGGCCATTTGTGTTTTTTCATCAGCCACTGTAGTTAGCAGCCCTTCCGTTATGAGACCAGTGTTCAGTGTTTTTACTGGTATAGGGAATGGGCACAGTGACGTCACCATGGACGTCACCGCCATGTTGATGGCTACGGGCAGCAGTAAACAAATGTAGTAGTTGAGTCATATCGAGTGGAGAAAGTGAGGGGAAAGATGTTAAGATGCCAGAAAGGAAAGGGAATTTACTGGGATACATTGAACCACAAAGCCAGGGACCAGTAAATGGAGAAAATGAACGCTACAAATGGTTTGGACCTAGCCTTGGACCAAAATGTCTTGAAAACGAACCCCGTTTTTCGTGTGGGGGTTCCCGGTCTAGACCGATTCACGTCTCCATAAACATTCAAATCAAACATGTAATGTACTCACCTCATAGGTACCGATGTTAGGAAGGTGTACGGGGGGTTGCCGTGTGTTTGTATTTCCGTTATTGTTCAATAAACATGCATTTTTAGAGCCTCTTACTACCAATGTGCAATACACCTCCCAACCGCTATAGTGGCGCTGTGGCGCATTAGAAAGCCGGTGCACTCATTCATTGCAGGACGAAGAAGGGGTGAAGAAAATTTCAGACATCCGAGATAAAAATGCATTCTAATAGGTGACTTTAACTTCTACTAATTCATTATTTGTATACTTATCTGTTGTATTTTACTTTTTAACATTAGAAAGTTTCATCTTTTGTCATTGACATAACTTGACTGATTATTAGTTTATTAAAACCTCTGACAGGAGAGTCATGAACTGATGGTATTTCAAGTGGGTAAGTTTATTTTCTTTTAATTACAAGTAAGTAAGCTTTGTGTGCAGCTTTATTTATCTTTCTTTACATCCTCTCTTTCAAACAGTGCTAAGTCACAAAATAAGTTGAAACTAATTGTTCTAAAATGTAATCTTACTCAGCAAGGGGCATTACGCATATCTCTTCATTATCCCTATCCTGACAAAGGCAGGAAATGTTCTATTGTCAATGAACACACTAATGACTCCCCGTGTCCTTACAGGCAGGCGCACACACACACACACACACACACACACACACACACTTCCTCAGATTCTACTGAAGTGTAGAAATCACAAAAGCCAGGTCATTTGGGGAACAGTGTTACAGTGACGCAACCGTTTGCTGACAGAATGTGGAGGCGAGCTTTTCTCCCTGGATTACAAAGAGACAGAAAGAGATTAAGCTACCTTAGAAACAAAGGCACAGCCCAAGAGTCTACAGTGTTCTTTGCAGGAAACCAAACAGGATTTGGCACCGGATGACTAAGAGCAAAGTGAGTGAGTCACAGCCCAGCTGGATCAGACTGGGGGAGTGACTGGTCGTGAAACATCGCCTAGGGGTCCAAGGGTCCCTAATTCCACACAGCTCAAAACAAATCATCCGCCGTTGTATATTCGGGGAAACAATTCCCCGGTCTCCACCCTGTCAATGACGGCTTCTCTTTTAGATTGTGTTCATAGCCGCGATGGGATCAGACAGGGTCACTGGTTAATCATTAACCGTCTCACACAAAGCAATCGTTGAGTAATCTTTCTTACTCAGTCGAAAAGATAACAGCTGAGAAGTGCTGAAAACACTTTGAAAACAAGACATTTTTTTGACAAAAACATTGCCAGACTACATTGTTTATGTTTACATGCACAGAATATCTGGGTTTTACCCTTACTCCAAAAAGATAATATTCCTACTAAGTTGTTTACACGACGAATGAAAACGAATATTCTACTAATATTTCCATTTACATGCAGCCATGCATATTCAGATTACCATGCCCATGTGTCGTTCATCACATCACAATATAAAAAAGTGAAAGATTGTTGCTTGTGTCAGGTTTTTTTCAGGGTTTTCATTCCCTCATCCACCTTCCTGAAAAGGTCAGCGCTTTAATATTTGCCCATATTCAAACATCATATCCAAAAACCTGTTGATATCCAAGTCTTTCTAAAGTAGATGTATTTCTACTTCCAACCAGAAATGTGAGCTTTTCTTTGGGGTATCTCTGCCCCAGCGTTGCAAAATGTTGTTGAGTTGGTTTGTGTACAATACATCCATGACAATGCACGGAGCTGACTTTAAACAGTCAAGAGGCCGTGTGACGCAAACTGCGGTGAAAACCCCAACTGAGATGCATATTTTGAAAGCACTGTATACATGTCCAAAGAACGCTCCTAAAGCCTGAGTAATATCAGCATATCCCACGTCTTAAATAGAAAATGCTACATTCGGAATTAAGCCGAACTCTAACTGAATATGCTGTTTACATGACCTGCATCAAATTCAGGATATTTTGATATCTGGAATAATGTGGAATACTGGTGTGCATGTAAATGTACCCACCCCAGTGTAGAGCACTTAAACTTGACAAGAATGAGTAGCTGTTTTGATCTTATTTGTTCTGAAGTTGATTCATGCACTTAAAAGGGAGTTCTGGGATTTACATCATTCTACGCTCTCTGTGAGACTGCACAGTAATCCTGCCCATTAATCACATGCCTGGGCTTTAGAGAAGGCTAACACAGGGGCCATGATAAAAGGACGAAATCAGGGAAAGAGACAGAACAGTAAAACAGAACTGCTGGAGGACGAGAATGAACAGAATCATGTGCAGTGGGGACACAGACACACTGGAGGGAAGGGAGGTTGGGCAAATTGCCAGCAGTGGAATGCAAACTTTCCTGTTCTCTCTCCCCTCATATTTATGGGCCCTTGGGCTGTGCTTGCTGACTCCTGCTCCCTGCCTGGCCCTGCACCAGTCCCACAGTCCCTCAGCACACTGAGAAATACACAGCCACGGGGAATATCGCAGAGACGGAGCTTTCTTGGAACCCCGGGTCGCGGTAGCTTCAATTGTGCTGGGGCTAAGGGACGCTCGCTCTTTAAAGACAACAACATCACGGCTCTGCTGAGACACAACAACTCTGCGGTCCTAAATTGAGCTCTGTGGACTGTCTTACCCCAGCTATTGCTTTGTGTGTGTAGATGGGCAAGTTGGGTGAGCGTCTCCGGCCCAGCCCTGGGTGTCATCACCGAATGCCTTAATCCTCCCTTGAGGTAGACTCCCAACTCCTCCTTGTTGATATGAATACGTCATGTTCCAGCTTGCCAACACACACGACCCTTCATCTTCTCCTTAAGTCATGGTGCACAGGCGAGAGGCCCAGGGCAGGTTTTGTTTAGTTTTGGATGTTAAACCTAAACTTTAAGTACTATGAGGCTGTGATGAGTTTATGTACACCATTTTGGATTTTGGAGAGTCCATTGCTGTGGAAGTTTATGGAGCTTTTAACTTGTGATTTTATAATGACAGTGCACTCCAGCGATTTAGAAGTGCACTACTGTACATCACAAGACACAGATTAATAAGAATGATCACAATCAATACAGCAAAGACTGAGATATTCAGGCTTCTTGCTCCAAAAATGTTGGTTCCTACACTACCCATAATGCAACTTGACAGCATCTTTTAATAAGACCTTTCCTGCTTGATAAACATGTTTTTTTTTTTTTAAACTCTGTCAGCCTAGATTGTAAGACGGGCTGCTTTTTATTATGCTAACTTATGCTTCCTCACGTTCTTACTCCTCCGTGACCCAAAAATCATTCCCCCTTCGCCATCATGGAGGAATTTCCAGTCCCCTTAAATGCACCTCAAGGAAATGAAGAGCGAGAGGAGGGGAGGCTTCTGGAGGAGCTTAGATCGAGGAAACACAGGTGTATCAAACGCATGTCCTCCTCGCATCTCTTTCTCAGGTGTCACATCACAGGAAGGAGCTAAGATGTGGGGAAGAGATGTGAATGAGGGAAGCGAGGAGGCACATAGGCCTAATATTTTTTAATTTTTTTAGTTTCCACGTTCAAGAGCAGACATCATTTCCTTGAACTTGGCAAAGCTCCTCCAAGAGCCACAGAAAACATGTTCATAGGTTGAGTAGTAACTCCAAATTGGTAGAGTTCCCCTTTGAAAAAATTAGGTCACATTATTAAACATTAATCATATTTAGTATGCAAAACTAATATTTGCTCTGCTTAATGTACGTTAAGATAAAAGAGTAGTTTCCTGCTCTGCTATTGCTCAGCCTCGTCCTTAAAATCACAGGCCCAAACTGCTGCTACATTAAATTACCCAATGACAGAGCCTATTAAAGTTTTATCACTCTGATTGAGTAACTGTTCACTGAGCTGTGCAGACTTGTAGGAGGGAGTGATAGCACATCATGCTGCGCTGCTGTGAGCGGTAAGAACATGAATCAATCTCAGCGCACATATTAAGTTTACAGACCTGACAGAGGATTGGTTATTTGTGAGCATTACTGTTTATGCTCAGCAGCGAAACTATGCAATTATTTACATGTCCTTTACAAGCAAGGACTATAATAAGATTGTACATTAGTATTTGATTTGTCAAACTAATTTATAGACTGAGACCAACTGGGCCTCAGAGCAGGGAAAAGGAAGGGACGGGCAACTTCTTCTTTCCTGCTCACATCGACCTAAAGTAAAGGGTTGCTTCACCCCAATTACAGAGAGAACATTTTAGAGAGCAGCACATTTTCTTTTGACCTTAAGTGATATCTAGCCATGCAGATAATTTGAGTTTTTATGTGATCAGATTTTGAGATTTCTGCTAATTCAATGGAGGGAAAATGACCTTTAAACAAGACTAAGAGCCTATAACCATGCTGTGCTTTGAGCTAATGCTAACACCAGCATGGCATTGAGCTCACAGAATGATCAACATGGCTCTATAGCACAGAGACAAAATATGTGACTGAAACAGGCATCATCGAACAGCATGTGGCCAAATAAGGTGCCTCTCAGCTCGAGGACAGAGATCTGTCAAGTCAAAGAGTCCTTGACTCTGATGAAAGAAAGTGATGTTGCAAAGTTAGTCCGTTAGCACCACTAAAGGCTGTAAATTGATCGATGTGCTCCAGTGTTGTCAAAAATATTGATTTACCGATACATATCAATTCTGAATATGAAATGGTTTCATTACTCTGCAGTATCGATACCTCAGTAACAAGGGTCCATGTCACTGGTTTGACAGCCCATTGGTTCGACATCCCATTAGTCCGACTGTCCGCGGTGCTGAACGACTCGCGGCGGGCGTATGGTGCGCTGCGACCGGCTTGAGGCGGAGCAGGCTCACAGCTTATGTGTTTGTCACTTTCTTTTTCATTTTAACCCACACCATGATCTTTTCCTGACCCTAACCAAGTGGTTTTTGTGCCGAAACCTAACCAGACCTTAACCACAGGGCATCATGATGATTTCGGAACGGACTTCGGAACAATGAGTTTAATATGGTCGGAACAATGGGATGTCGAACCAATGGGCTGTCGAACCAATGGGCAGTTCCCAGTACCAGCAGTGCTTTCTCGCTCTCTCTTATTGTTTAGTAGAGTCGTTCCGCTATTCTCTGCTGCTAACCAAGAAAAGAAAAGTTGTTGTTGTCAAGTTCCAGCCTTGTTATAGTAATCTTCATATCTAATTTATCCCCATGGTATAAAAAATGATATTGAGTATTGATATTTTTCAAGGTATTGTATCGAAGTTAGAAATTCCAGTATCGTGACAACACTATTGTGCTCCAGTCCTTAAGGCCTGTGCTTTTGATTTGATTGTTCTAAAGACTGAGAGCAAAATGTCAAACCAAACCAACATGGTGGCTTGTTTGGAAATTTTCAGTTATATTAAAGGAGAAGTCCGGTATTTTGCACTTTGAACCCCATTTCTGGGTTGTTTATGATGAAATAGAGCGGTTAAGACCAAAATTGTGACGATTGCTCATTTTCGGAGAATGTGGCTTTCCCCTGCCTGGCTTAACACTGCTGCCTATGGCCATGTGTGAACCTGTCCTAAAACCACCCTAAATGTTCGTTTTCAAAGCCATGAAACTCACCGAGTGGTCAGTGGTGTTCGTTGATGTTGTGACATAAAAATCGTAGCAAACTGTGGTTTCCATCTGTGTTTTCGCTATTCATCTCAATTGTGGAACTATTTTTTCAGCTGCCTTACACCTGTGTGTAAATTTCCGCTTGATCGTTCACTTGACCCTGAAGCGTTATACACTCCTGCCCACTTGATGGCGATACTGCTCCTTTACATGGGTGTCGCCAACCGGCAGGAAACCATTGTGATGTAGTGGGACACAGAAAAGAAGCATAAGAAGAAGAAGGCTGGCGTCATGTTCAAAGGCATCATTACTGCGAGGGTTGTTTACAAGCAAGTAATCCATTGTGCAGTTGTTTAAACTTATTACAAAACTTTTTCATTTGTTCTCGTTCTTCCTCCAGGAGCGCACACAGCACTGTCAAGCCAGCACTTTTGCTGAGACATTTTTTGGGGAGTTTCCAGAAGTGGTCACTCGCGCTGGATGTGCCTGATTTGCATCAAGAGGCCTAGATTCAACTTCATTCAATTGAGAAGTGGGGCCCTGTTTCTTCAAACGCAACCTAGCGCTACCAGAATGCATTGCACGCTACATAAATAATGAATAGGAAGCATGGAATGATGGCTCCTGTGGACACATATGATAATCCTCATGAGTATAAGAGCAACATGATTGGTTAATGGCTTTTCTTTGTGAAAGTACTCATGACAAAAACATCAGTTCAAAAAATATACTTACATTTAATCACACAGGTTAAAAAAAAGAATATAAAAGGATATAAAAGTACATCTACTCACCAGAGCACAGTGCCCCTTTGAAGCGTAAGCAATTGAAGTCGTCACATTCACAGTACTTGCCCCACACCTGACCAAACTCATTTGCATGGCAGGAGCACTGTCCACACAAACAGTCACCCCTCCCGCTGCAGATCGGGCTCTCTGGCTTCGGGATGCAGTTGACATCATCCGATGGACTGTAGTCCCCCACGGAGCACTCGCATCGTGGGCCCAGACGACCAGGATGACACTGACACACGCCACACTCGTAGGTCCCATTGCCATTGTTACAGACGGGGCTGTCAGGTACAGCCTTTGCCTCACAGTCGCAGGTACAGGCAAAGTCCACCGTGACCTCCAGGGCATCCTTGAAGCCTCGAGGTTTGATGGTAAAGGTACGGGTCTTCTCTTTGGGACAGCCACGCAACTGAGCCTCCACGCTGAATGACACCTGCAGAGGAGGAAGTGTCTCTGTGACCTTCTGTGTGTGTAGACACCAGATGTGCATGTGCCTCAACAGATACGTACTGTGTCTCCAATCTTGAGGCCAGAGCAGGACTTGAGTCCAGGGATAAACTCTCCATTGAGGCAAGTGGCATTGTAGAAGAGGTTCAATTCTTCTGGGACTCCCAGTTGCTCCAGCTCCACTTTAGAACGAATTCTCTATTCGACACAACGTTATGAGGTCAAACGGTTAAAATGCATCATACCTTTTTACATAAAAAAATAGATTACATGAGCTCTCAAGTTCCACTTATGGTCCTATAGGAGAAACTTACTGCATAAGCCTCCTCAATGAGCTTAATAACATTCCCAGAGTCATCGGACAGCATTCCCACAGTTGTGCCTGGTATGAGCTTACTGTACCCCTGGGAAGACGGACATAACCACAAGATGATGACCCAGTTTTTGTGTTGTTCATATCAATAACTTAAATTCATGCTGTGGCACAACGGTTACAGCTGGTTTACCCTGTAGAGCTCCTCCACAACACTGGTCACAGCAAAAATCAAATTAATGTTGTTTTCAGACATTTTGTCTGTCATGAGTGCCAGAGAGGGATAGTCCTGGAAGACACAGGGAGTAAATTGTCTTCAGTGGAAGCAAAATGATTACAAACCAAAGTAAATGACTTTATTGTTTGCCTTTACCAGCACTGTAGTTTCATTGTAAACATTGTCACTATCAAGGTGACACAGTCCATCATTGGGTCGGACAATCCCAGCTATACGTCCATCCAGAGCGATGTGAGTTTTGGCATCAGTGGTGAATACCAAAAGGTGTGAGGCATCTGAACGCCAGCCAATCCTGTCCTAATGACGAACACAGAAGTCAAGTCACACCTCATTTAGTTGGTCTTGTCATAAAACTGGGCTGTCTATGCAGTAAAATGCTTTTACAATTGGTGCTACATGACCACAGGAAACAAAGGGAAGGGGCTGCGGCATTCGCTTTTTGATCAAGAGATAGAAAACCTACAACTACCAGAATGCCCTGTGCCGCAACATACACATAAATGCGCCTGCTGGTTGGCCATTTTGACACAGGAAACAATGTGAAGGTCAGCTGGTCACAAACATTCTCGAATTACAGTTAAACAATAAGCTAAAATATGTTTCTACAGCCAAAGTCTGCTGGAGATGAGTTGACCACAAATATTAACCACAGCTATGATACAAAGCTGGTTAAAAATTGACAAAGTGTCCCTTTAATAAGCATCGTTGGAGGGTGCCTGAGGCCTAAGATTTTCATTGCCAACGACAGCTTCTCTGTAACTGTTGCACACATGATAAGAATAAGAAACTTCAGCTTGAATGCATACAGTTTCCACATCAACGAGTATACAGTACGTATGTGATTACATCTTCATACCTTGCACACCACAGCCTGCATGACAGCATCAAATCCACCCTCCGGAGCGTCTCTGTTTCTAGACACCTTCTGTTTCTCCACCTCCTCAGTGAAGCGACCCACCTCTTCCGTCAGCGACAGCACGTGCTTGAACCCGAACTGAGCCAGGCATGTCGTGCCCATTCTGTATGTATTGAACGGGTGAATGGGGGGATAGGAAATCAGTGAAGGAGAACTGGACAGACTTCCTCTGAATATTAGAAAATCTCCACTTCAGCTCCTTCTCCTCCTCAAATGTAACACCAACAGTAGAACCCACACCTACCCATAGCAAGGGTTTTTCACTGCCTCTGGGGGGTGCATGTACATGTAAGGGGACGTGGTCTTGTCCACGAAGGCTCCAAACCCCATGCGTAGGTTGCTTGTGGTGCGGCCCATAGTCGCGGCAAGCTCACTGCCCAAGGTTTGAAGGCGATACAAGTCGTCTTCCATCGAATATGAAAGATCCATCAGATAGTAGAGGTCCACTGGGTAATCCTCCACCTGTTTCACTGTCACAGTGAAATGCTTGGAATCTCCTGAGAGGGAAATAGCAGAGGACCACAGAGTGAGTGAGTGAGTTGGTCTTACTTGGGATGTCTGGTTGGGTGTTAATGTACCTGGTCTTAGTGTCATGCGGAGTTTCTGAGGCTTTATCTGAGTGACATCATCGGCAGTCCCAGAGGCCTTGCTGCTGAGCGCTTTGTCCTCCTGAATATTCAGAGTGCTGGAGGGAAACTCAACTGCTGCTGAGCTGCACCCTCCATCCAGCAGATTCTGCTTCAGATCGCAGCGGGACGCGCTGGAGCCCCCCTGCCCATACACCTGAATTAAGCATTGACACAAGAAGCTTTTAAGGTTTGCATTTATGATATGATGCTGATATAGGCTCAGGTATCTCATGCTCAGGAGACCTGAGGCCAACACCCACTTCCCTCTTTTTATTTTTTTTTTTTACCTTAACAGTTCAGAGGCTACAGTGTATGAGCATGTAAACGAACAAACACCAGAGGATGACAAGACGAAGAATGCTATTGGGAAATGAGGATTCTGTTCTAACTTGTTGCAGAGTGATTAATGGGAGGGGCGACCAGACACAGTTTGTGTGTATGTGTGCTACTGGTGTTTTTACCTCCTGAGAGCACCACGCACAGCTAGGGTGAACGGCCAAGCACTGCTGACAAGTGGTGACTCCTTGGGAAGTGCAGATGTTGGAACCTTTGATAAAGCAATAGAAATGTGACACAAAATCAGTAGCGGTAATGCTCAAGTAAAAATCCTGCATTCAAAATGTTACTTATGAGAAAAGTACAAAAGTATTTGCATTAAATTTCACTGAAAGTACAAAAAGTAATTATTGTGCAGACAAGCAGAGTAATTTTCATTACTATAACTGTAATATATTATAATATGGATGTGTGAATGTGTACATTACTCCAGTGTTGCAGCTGCTTAAAATGGGGCTTATTTTTTTACTACCGGATAGTTTGCTTCCATAATACAGTAATACATCATCATTATTTATTGATTATATTTTTTTATCAATTTGGATTTGCAAAGTAACAAATAAATAAATGTAGCAAATTTAGTGAAGTGCAAGATACAAGTAGAAGTATGACATGTTTAAGTAAGCGCTGAAGTAAATGTACATAGTTACATTCCACCACTGCACAAAACACATTTTCTTACACACACTGTTGAGTCAAAGTGACAACACTAACCACACTGGGTTTTTTTTGTTTTTGTTTTTTAAATCAGAAGTCCCATGCAGCTCTGTTCAACCACAGACACCGCTGTCTTTCATAAGAGCACTGGACGTTGAAGTCTCAGTACCCGTCACATTAATGATGCTGATCCTCATTATGTTTTTCTGAGGATCATTTCACTGTGCTGGCAAATTGCGCCAAACGTTTAATTCCCTGAAAGTCAACAAATGCATTAATTCCAAACGGCTTTACAATTTGTTATCTGTCTTGGCCTATGGGTGTGGCTCACTGGAGTTTAAAACTAAGGCACAGCCACTAGTGTTAATCTACCTGTGTGCAGCTGACAGAATATACATGAAAAAATACCTAATTTGACTCTAAAAGAACTGCCTGACATCATACCTATTCCCAAACAGTCAAGGGCCTGAATAAGCACCACACAGGATATGGTTTCTCAGCTACACTTCTTGAGCTATTTCAAAATACTTTAATACTTTATAGGAAAGTCTGAGTGTTTTATTCATTAATCTAGTTTGTTAGGTTTTCAGTTAATCAAGAAAAATGAAAACCACAAACATACAATGGCTTTAAGTATATATATATATTCTATTATATGCTGATAATAAAATTATTCTTGGCGGTGCTGGGGAGCCTGTGAGGGACTCCTCACTTTGGGAAACATCTCGACTATTTTCACTCCCTTATAAGGACAGGAGGCGAAAGCTCCAGCGGAGCAGCGCACTTACAAACCCAACAGAGCCGCTCCATTCAAGACAGAAAACAGTGAATTGTTGTGTCCGTTTGAGAACATTATGTTGAATAACCATCAGCACATATACTGTGAATATTAATAATAGGTGGTGCCTTCAAAGATGACCTTCAAGTCGGAAGAAAACACCCCATGGTTAAGCAGGTGAAAGTTTTCTACAAAAAAAAAAAAAAA